GTCCAATTGCAATTTCTCAAAGGATTGGTTCTCAAGTCCAATTATTTCCAGTGCAGTGAAAGCTGGACATAAACCGGGCAAATCGTCGATTGCGTCATGAGCCGTGCCCTTAACGGTGGCAGTAAACTCGAAATCGCCTGTAAACAGAAATTTGCGACCTGCCCACCTCGAAAAATTACGAAGCCAGTCAATAAATAAGCTCCTTTCAGCTAATTGCGCAACGCGTCATCGAGTTTATGAGAGTGTAACCGTGTAAAACGCCTCTCGTGAACTTATATTCTAGAACGAATTCTCAATTAATTTTGCATAATGTTATAAGAAGGACTTCCCGTCTTCGAATGTCGTTAAAACGATGACTATGTTTTTAAAATTCGAATTCGTGAGAAATTGGTCATTTCATGTATTCATGAAAAACTAGTTTTCAACTTGACTATTAGAAATAATAGTGGACACATAAAGGTGTCATTAAGTAGTACACGAACGTTCGACACGAACCTCTTAGTAATTCGAACGTTTTTCGGATGATTACCACAATTTCATTTCTGAGATTTTCGAAATTCCGCTTTCTCTTTCCACCGTTTTGACATCTGACGACAAATGATTGCCTTAAGAATAATCCGTTTAAGTGGAAACCCACGCGTATAATACCCGAAGCAACACCCCCAAACAATCGGTTTTACCCCCTTCTTTTTTTGGTCATTTATCTTCAGACCGACAACAGCTGAACAATCGACGTTTTTACGGGGTTCTACGGAATTTTCTGCTCCCCAGTCATCAACAATAGCTTTGCACAGAGTCGTTTCTAAAAACGATTGGATACGGTTGATATTATCTTGTTACTTCGAAAAAAAAGGCACAAAAAGATTTGACGATGTTTTAGAATTCTTTGACGCATAAAGGTGGATTAATAAAGAAAGTTATTTTGTTATTTTTTTGGAATTTTTGATAAAATTTGTTAAAGACAAATCTGATATGTAAAAAGGCATTCTTGGCAGTGATGCATGGAGGTAGCAGGTTTGAAATAAATTTCAATAAACTGAGCATGACAATTTCCGAGTTGTCTTGATATCAGGATTTGAAATATCTTCTTGCAAAAACAACTTGCACTAATACCATAATCTTTGGACAATTCTTTTGAGAATAACCTCTTTCAGTGTCCCTATACTTAAAAGTCCCATAACAGCATACAAATTTGTTGAAACTTACCGCTGCAATTTGAAATTGGTTGAAATCGCAAGTTCTGCCAAATTTGTCAAAATCAGTATGATTCAGAAGAGGATAATACAGGAGATACAGAAGATATGATGGTGGTTATAATGAAGGTGTTTTCTTTAACACCTCCACAGCTACAACCTCAATAAAATAAAATAATGAATTTGTTAAACAAATAGACACTATTTATGAAAAGAAGAGTCATTGAGAGAGAGTCTATGATACTCGATTGACTTTTGGACGATTGATTGTGAGTGTACAACTTTCAACTATAGTCTTTGACAGCAAACCATATATCACTGCGAAAAATGTTTTGAAAACCTTGGATTTTGTATGAATCAGTGTTTTATGCTTAACGGGAATTCGTATGATTTATAAAAGATGCTAGAAAAGGATATAAACCAAAGACAAGTCTAGTCAATTAATCAGCCATCCTCAAGAAATAAAGTTTATATGGAAAAATTACTTCCAAACATTACTGGGGTGAGAAGCTGCGTAAAAAAATACAGAACCCAACTCCCAAAGAGCACAAACAATAAACTAAATACTGATGCACACGAGCTGCTGAGAGTGAGAATATGGCGAAAAGCGGCAGAAGATAGAAGAGAGTGGAGGTAGAAGGTAAAGGAGTCTAGAACTCAATTTGGGCTAAAGTGCCATAAGAAGGAAGAACAGTTTCACAAATGATCAGGAATAAAGTAACCCAATATTAGCTCATAAGTCGCATGCAAATAGTGAAATGTTTAATTTTGGTGCTACTAATAAAAAAAATTTTTTAATTCAATTTTGAACCTCAAGCCTTTGGCTACGACTACTTCCTATTAGTTATCTACTAAGCTTGTAGTGAACAACATAACTTTGGACTTACTGTACTGTTTACTTTGCTGTAAAGTTGTGCACAATATGTCATGAAATGTAACAGCTGTTTTTCATGTGGTTAAGAGGTTTATTTGATGAGAATAAAGTAGGAGGTTTGCTTGGTTTTTTTTCTTATTGCTGATAATTCTGAAAAAAATAAACAATATGAGGAATCTCCTCGGAGAAAAGTATGAACGGTACAGACTTAGGTTCAGTTAGAAAAAACACTCAGTTTAGTTGAAATTTTTGATGAGGCTTTCTAAAGTATTATGTTTCTTTTCGAATATGATAAAGTTGTAAAATCTAAAAGATGTCAAACTTCTGCACCAATTCGAAAATTGTGGAATATACTTATTGAGTCTTGCATATACAAATTCAGATGCAGAAATAGATGAATCGAACATCGTTATCCAATGCAGAAGTGTTGTCAACAATGCACAAAGGTGATAAAAGAAGTTACAAAGAAATCAATGATTAAGCAATGATGTTCTAAATAACATAATGATAGTTGGTACATTTTGCTTTTGGTGACTTTGATTCAAGACAAATTTCTGACAATGTCTAATAAGATCGATCGTCTCATGTATTGACATTATTCCGGATATTTAATATTTGATTCTCATCATCTGTATGTTGTTATCCACTTCAGCGTTCCCACTTCATATCATCCTAAAGCAGCTCTCACAATTATAAAGATATACAACCTCTGTGGCACTACAATTATGCCAATAATAATAATTGGGTAATAATTGGGTAATAATTGTAATACAAGGACAGTAAGGATAAAATTTATTAGGCAAAAGTTTGCAAATCTAGATAGCAGCTATAAACAGCAGAGAGATCATCGTTAAGAGCAATCAACCGTATTAAACCCTTCAACCCATACAACCAATTCCTCTATGACCTCTCTAACATTACTCCCGTCGTCCATGAATGCCTATAATTCCTATCCACAAATTAGCTAGACACTTTCCAACTAATGTACCAGTACATTTTGATGTTAGGACGCGTTACTACTTCGTTGTATCTTCATCGGCCTTCAGTATTTTCATCACAAATTTAGCAAAGTGCAAACGTTGAAATCGATTGGCCATATTGCGAGGATGGACATAAAAAGTACCACAAGAATTATCTTTGATCGACGTGGACCTGTGGGTAGAAGTTCGATTGGGAGGTCGAAGAGGCCATGTGGAGGAGGACCTAGAAAAGCTTGGAAATGACAGTTAACGCAGGCCAAGGATGTAGATAAGCCTTGTATTGGCTCATTTCACATACACACTTTATCACAAAGTGTTCAAAAATTTCTAAGGCAGCGGTAAATTGAACTTACATCCTTAGTTTGTGCCATCAAAATTATGAACAATATTGCCGCAACATTTTCATGTTAAACATTCAGATATAAATTTCGTCATCTATCGATAAACGTTTAGAAATATTGTTAATTTATCGTTTTAAAATTATTAAATTGTCTAAAAGTTGAGTACTATTGCTATTTCTAACAACATTTGAAAATTAATCCTCAAATCGCAAAGAAAATTGATTGATTTAAAAATGTTTATCTCAAAAGACAAAAAATATTAATGCATAATTTCATAACAGTTTGTCAAAATCCGGATATATTGCGATTTGTTGAAAAAAAAGTAAATTGTTTACCCTTAAAAATGAGTTAACAATACAAACATTGTTGTTGTTAAAGTACTTAAATTGAGACGTTATCCACACAATCTCTTCCTGTTCAAAACACAAACTGTTCCTAATTTAGCTCCTCTTCCTACTTGCACCATTAACACAGTATTCTATACAAATTAGTCGTATGAATCGTTGTGATATTAAACAAAGAAATCTAATATCTTTAATAATTATGAGTGACTGTCAAACAACTTGAAATGAGTACAAAATCCGTTTTTGCTTTTCGACTGTCTAAATAAATATCTTTTCAAAAGAAAACAACTCAGTTTTAAGAGCCGTTTCTATTAACATGTTAAGATAACAATTTTTGAAGTCAATCAAAATTTTTTAAACTTCACTTTTTTTATTTAAGAAATCGTTAAAAATCTATTTCTTCTTATACAATCGTTCTGAAAATTATAAAAATCGTTAATAAAACCATTTAGCTATTGAAATAAAATTTGTTAAAGTCAAAGAATGTCTAAAATCAGTTTCAAGGTTAACGATTTTTTATGGTCATTTATAAAAATAGGTTAAAAATTATCCGATTTATTGATAAAATTACGATCTTTCTAACGAAATAAGCCATATTTAAAAATATCATTTCATTTTTGAGATAAAAATTTTTTAAAAATTTGATTTTTTATTATTTCTATTCTTAACGCAACTTCTTGTATTCAAATTTTTGGATGAAATGTTTTACTAACTACTAATTTATGTTATCATCAACTGCTCCCAAAACTGTGTTAATTAAATATGAGTTTAATGATAATGACAATCAAGTATTTAAAAAGATATCAAAACCATGTCTTTGAACCTGAAACATTTGTTTTGTAGCGGTTACTGAAAACGTGATTTAGCTCGCAAGGGGAATGGCCTCACATATCTTGTTTGTAATGATTTTGTGTCGCACACCAACTTCACGAAACTCGAAAAATAATACCTAAACTCGAAGTCCATAATTAACTAATAATTGGAACTCCGGGTCAAATCTTGAGAAGTGGTAACCCTATTAAGATTCTAAGATATCGATTAGCAATATGACTCTCAATTTGTGAAACGCTTTTTTAAAGTTTTAATAGAAATCCAATATTCCAAAAACCTTAGGAAAAATCTAATTTATAAGTAGTATTAAAAATTACCTTATAAAGTCCTTTTGTCTCCATCGCGTCCATACCATAACAGTTTGATTCAAATCTAGCCGAAAATAAAAAATAAAATTCACTGAAATTTTCGTGGTGTAACAAAAAAAGAAACACAAATAATTTGTATTGATAATAATTATTTTATTTTATATTCCACATAGTAATAATACACTATATACACAACAATATTATCTCGCAACTATACATTTCACAGAAATAAACGAGAACCCCCGACGATAAATACACACGGCTCTTTGTACTCCTCGAAAGCAATCAAAAAAAAATAATAATAAGGTCCTCGTAATAACCACAGATCGGAACGAAACTCTCGGACATAAATTAATAATAATAAGAAAAAGGAACAATAATCGAGAAAACGATTAGACAAATAAGACCTCCTGTATATTATACTATGTACATTTTTTTTTCTGTAATACTGTCGCATATCTAAATACTCGCATCGGTAGAAAATATACCACTTCATGCATATAATATGCCTAAATAATTACTCGGTCAATAAATTACGTAATTTTTTTTTCTTCCCTATTTACATTATGTATAAGTAGTATAAATTAAAAAGGGTTAAGCTTCTTTGGTTACGAGTTGGTAAGGACGCGTCCTCTACATTAAAGTTGAAACGAAGTCATCTATCATTGGTGCCTTGACACGGGACTCACTGAAGAGCTGCTTTGTCTGGCCATTGGCATGTAAGGACTGTACCTTATCGAAGATTGGTAAACGGAGGGGAGTCGAAGGTCAGCGGAGGTACTTACGGACGTAGGACTTGGGGAACCTGAGGAACTAGGCGTGGAACTTGGAGGTGGAGTGATTTGTGGTCTCTGGGAAACGGGAAGAGCAAATCCCGGCGGTAAACTTCCGTTTAACGGCCAGGATTGATTGAAAAGATGAGCGGGCAAAACTCCGGGCGCCCTTTGACTCATATACATTTGTTGAGGCGATTGTCCTCCCAAGAACAAAGCATTTATTTGAGAATCAATCGGAGTATAAGGATTCCCACAAGCTCTACTCCACATTTGTAGGTGAGCTCTAGCCTTTTCCATCATCGCAGAAGAAAAGACTGAGCCGTTATTATTTTCTGGATCGATTCCGTCCGGGTAAAGTCTATGAAGCGATGACCTCGAAAAATGATCCATGAACAAACCATCCATGGGTTCCCTGTAATAAAAGAAACAAATCATTAACTTACATAGTGTGACGAAATTTTAAAATCCTAAGATTACAAGTTTAAGAAGATCAGAAGGAAGATGGACAGGCATGAAAAAAATTTCAAAAGGAGATAAAAAAATTAATATTTCCATAATAAAGAACTGACCGCTCGAGGATATCCGTAGATAATTATTAAGTTGAAGAAGGTTTTTGAAATAAAATGAAACCAAATGAAATTGTAAGAAAGTATTTAATATAGTAAAACTTAGATATAACGGACAAAATATTTTTAAGTCATATTATTAATTAATATTAACTAACACTAGATCTAGAATTAGAAACATTCGGGTTTAGTTGTCTTAAGAGAGGAAGGGCTAAAGCCGAATGTTTCTAGTTCCAGGTCTAATGTTAGTTAGATCAAGTAGTTAATAAATAACGTAGTTATGTACATGAATTATGGTATAGCGGAAAGATATAATAGATCAATTATGGACATGTCTAGATGTTTATGAGAAAATTTTGGCCAGAGGTAGTATGCGCAGCTGCATGTCATAAAAATAGAAGCCTGCTATTAAATATTTACGTCTATATGGAAGTCGAATTTTTGTTCGAAGACCAGAACAGTTAAGAAGGTCTAAATGGGATAAAAAGGCTGATTTGGGAATTTTGCTGGGTTATACTGAAGTTGGGTATAGAGTTTTTGTAAATAACTGAATCATTGTAGCTGGACATGTTGATGTTGTGGAGGAGAATGTTAAAAGTATAGGTTTAGATACAAACAGAACTGACAATGAATTTGAAAGTGATTCAGAAATACAAGATGAAATTACAGAAATTAAATTCGAAAATAAAATAATTAAACAAGAACAAAAAACGCCTCAAGAATTGAGAAGATCAAAGAAAGAAAAATGCCGGCTAGATATGATTATAGTTATGTTTATGTGAACTTTTGCAATGTTGAAAATCTATATAATTTTGAGGGGGCGATAAATAGTAATCAGGCAGAACAGTGGAAACTTGCTATGAATAAGGAAATGGAATGTTTGAAAATGTATAAAACTTGGAAAAAATTTCCAAGTTACTAATTATTGGTCAAAAAGCCGGAGAATAAAAAAAGTTTTGATGTTAAATGGGTTTATACAAAAAAGTCAAATAACATTTATAACGCCAGATTAGTTTTAAAAGGTTTTCAACAATCTGAAATTGTGGATGATTGATTTTTTTCACCAATAGCTAAAATGCAATCTTTAAAAATATTGTTATCATATTGTTGCCAGGAGAAATTAATTATAGAACAAATGGACGTAGACACTGCTTTCTGGAATGGTAGATTTTTTCAGAAATATATGTAAATCAAGCTAAAGGATTTGAGGATGGGACAGAGAGAGTTTGTATACTAGAAAAAGCATTATATGGGTTGAGAGAAAGTTTATGCTTTGTTTTGATGAATTTTTAAGAGAGATAAAATTTATAAGGAATAAATGTGACTATTGTTACAACTACTTTTATACAACAAAAGAAACGAAGATGATATGATTTACTTAGTACTAATACTTGTGAAATCCTGATTGCAATGTAGACGCAGAGTGGAGATAGGCAGGAGATAATTTAGATAGAAAATCTACGTCAGGCTATGTAATGAGATTGTTTGGAAATTTGTTTGGAAAGTGTAGCTAAATCTTCAACCTTTGCCGAATATGTAGCCTTATCAGAAGCAGTAACCGAAATAAAACTAATAAAAAATATACTCGAATTTTTTAACATTGACTTTAAGGCACCTATTAAGATATATGAAGATAATTCGGGAACTTTATGTATTGCTAAATATGGTAATTTTACTAAAAAATTGGACTGCTTTATGCATCACTTGACTAAGCGACAAATAAATAATGTTGAGAAAAACGGGATTTTCGTTTTCATCTCTCTAAAAATATAAGACTTCTCAGAATAGACAGGCTCAAACTATTGAAAATTGTTTGGTGGCAGTCCATTTTTATCACAGAACACTGATGACAGCTATAACAAGCACAGAAGCCGCTTGGTCACTCGTATACAAGGTGTTTCTGTAAGTCGTAAATTTAATCACTAAAACTAGAGACAAAATGATGACGATTTGTGTAAAAATTTTTGAAAAAAATAATTTAGAGTTTGATTTTGCACTTTTAAACTGGTTTTTATTTTATATAGAATTTAAGTCTAACCAGTTTCGACCCTTGGCCATCTTCAGAGACTCTACAAATAGATCTCTACAAACTCTACAAACATCTCTCATGTTATCCATTTTACAAACAAGTTTCTTAATATTTCTTTTTGTTTTGTTAAAAAAATTCACATATCAAACTCGAAATCAGATTATTATTTACTAATTTACAAAAAGTTAAAAAAGGTGTAAAATGAAATTAAGGACGAAGTGTTATCAGTTTACAAGTTAAAATTTAAGCACACTCTTTTTTAACAAAAGATATAATAAGAAACTTGGGAAAAATTCAAGAATCATCATGTGGCTTAAAAATAGACGACTTTTTTTAATCAATGTGAAATGACCCAAAAAACACGTTAAAAATCAAAAGAAAGTACGGAAAAGTGACTAACACTAGATTAACTCAGTTATAAAACTTCTATTACATGATAACTAACTTCAGGTTTAAAATGTCAACCTCAATTTTGACATATTTGTAATCTTCATTAAAAATCCTTTAAAATGAGTATAAACACGACATATTTATTTTCAATGTTAATGAAGTTATGGTCAACTTCCGGTTAAGGATGTCAACGTCAATTTTGACAAATTTGTAGTCGTCGTGAAAAATGAGTCCAAACATATTATACGTTTAATTTCAACGTTACTCGAAATATAAGCAACTTCCTGTTTGAAATGTCAATGTAATTTTGACATATTCGTAATTATTAAATGTCTTAATATTTGTCACAAAAACAAAAATAATCAATAATAAAAAAAAAATTAAGGTTGGTATTAATATTTAAATATTAAATTGCTATCTTCATTGTTGCTAATTTAGGGTTTAATGTTTTTTGTTCTAATTTTTTTGTTTTTTGAGATAAGTGTGTCATTTTTGGACTTATTTTAAAAGTATTTTAACGAAGATGACAAATATGTCAAAATTGACGTTGACGTTTCAAAACGGAAGTGATTGTATTTCAATTAATGTAAGTTAAATATGTCGAGTTTGGACTCATTTTAAAGGATTTTTTATAAAGTTGACAAATGTGATTTTATGGATGTGCAAAAAAACTGTTTGTTTAGAACATTCTGTGGTATCGTGTGATGACTGTAATTCGGGCATGAATGAATGAAATCAGTTTCTGCTTTCTATTTTCCAATATTTCATCATTATTTTTGATGAAAATCGCCTTTTTTCGCTTCTACTTAACAATATTTCTTTAGCTAACAATAAATTTTCTTTTAGTTAAAAAAATTAACAGTCAATGACTTACTGCCGTTATTTTTTGAAAAATAGTCACTAAAAACTGAAAACATATATTCCCTTATCAAGATATACTACAGTGAATAAAAATTACTTAAAATTAAAATATACGCAAAACCCAGAATTTTTACTTATCTTTTGTCAATTTATTTTGGGGTATGTCATACCCCACCACAAAGGTTGTATGCAAAAAACCCACCACACTGTCGTAAGTATATCAGAGGACGTTACATAACTGGTTTTTCTAATAATAATGTTTTTGATCCACGAAAATATGGCTAAATCTATGAATGTCACGTTTTCATTATAAACACTTGACGGTAAAGTTTATATACAGTATGTCCCCGGATCGAGTTACAAAGAGGAAAAAAATGTTTATTACTGATTTTTCATACTTATTTCAGCATAAATAATGCGATAATAAATAATGTTCAAACCACTAAATCGTACGAATTTTATACTTTAACTATAGAAGTTAACCAATTATTCCCATTTTTATGTAAAAATTTGACTTTTTTCTAAATTGAAAAAGTTCAATTTATGATATGTAACCATAGAAATCATAAAAGTTTCAACTTATGTTAGTGGTACACATTGTACCATTCGGTCACAATGTGTGATTGTGAACCGTCTCGCTGAAAGTACATTGACCGTATAAAATTTAAGGGTAATTCATCAAGTTGTTCATTAAAATAATTTTGTAACATATCCAAATATTTCTGTTGATTTACATTTTCGTCGAAGAAATATGGCCCAATTACCCCGTGATATGTTATAGCACACGACACATTTACTTTTTTGCAATGTTGACTTCGTCTAGAGAGTGTACAATTTGGATTTACGTCACTCTTCTATGGTTACATATCATAAATTGAACTTTGAAAAATTTTTAGTTTAGAAAAAAGGTCAAATTTTTACATAAAAATGGGAATAATTAGTTCACTTCTATAGTTAGAGTATAAAATTCGTGCGATTTAGTGGTTTGAACATATCCGACGTATTATTTCTGTTGAGATAAGTTTGAAAATTCAGTAATAAAAATTTGTTTCCTCTTTGTAACTCGATCCGGGGACATACTGTAAATATATATATTTTTTATAAATTTTTTACACATTTAACATTGCTCTCTCTTTTTATATAATCCTTTAGTCGTGCTTGAAGAAGGAAACTGTAGGTTTCCGAAACAATTTGTACCACCGATGTATAAATAAAATCAAACATCGTATTTAAGATTTTTATTTACTTTATGAAACTTACGATGAACATGGATTCTACCATTGCTAAAGTATTTTAGGTCTTTCGGTGTTCTGCATTATTTCTAAGATAAGTAGTTACACCTTTACCTACCAGACAGCATGAAAATCTCTAAAACGATAAAATTTCGCTTAGTCAAGTGATGTATAACGCGGTCCAATTCTAAGTATACTGAAGTGCATTTTCATTTTGCAAATTAATGTTATGTGGAAGGAATCATAGATATAATTAAAGTAGATTCAAATAGAAACCTAGCAGATATTTCTACAAAATCAATGAGCAAAGATAAATTTGTAAAACTAAGAAAATGTTGAGTTTAGTGCTAGGTAGCGCTAGTTAGCACAATATCGCTATATTGTATATTTAGTGAACTAAAACTAGTATACAACAATCAAATGCTGAATAACAACTAAAAGTAGAACTAACACTAGCATTACAACTAACACTAGGCCTAGAACTAGAAGCATTCTGGTTTAGTCGTCTTAAGAGACGTACGGCTAAACCCGAATGTTTCTAGTTCTAGGTCTAAGGTTAGTTCTAGTGACAGTGCTCAATAGTGCTAGTTAGCACTAGATATCGCTATGTTGTATATTTTTAGTGGACTAAAACTAGAACTAATACTAGACCTAGAACCCGAAACTTTCTAATTCTAGGTCTTCTTAGGTTAGTTCTAGTTTTAATTGTAATTCAGCGCTGACGTCACGAACGGCCCTTCGAGCTATGTACCTATTCCCCAGATGTAGCAGCCCTCTTCAAATTATTCATATAACCCTTACCGTAGCTATTTAATTGGTTTCGATTTTGAGCCATCTTCAGGGATGGCAAATTCTAGGTTTAGTTGAAATGTTATGCAGCGCTAGATTATTGTGTATTTTTATTGAACTGAAAGTAGAATCATTCGGCTTTAGCCGTCTTAAGAGACGTACGGCTAAACCCGAATGTTTCTAGTTCTAGATCTAAGGTTAGTTCTAGTGACAGTGCCAAATAGCGCTAGTTAGCACTAGATATCGCTATGTTCTATATTTTTAGTGAACTAAAACTAGACCTTGAATTTTATTTGTTATTCAGAATTAGAGTGTTGTATAATTTTGATTGAACTAACTATTTAGTTTTACTACATAAGAAAGTGTCGAATGTTTTTAAAACATGTTTGTTTGAGTAACACTGTTTTAATAAGTGACAGGGCCGGAGGCAACCGCCTGTTCGCATTTTGTCGCCTCCGTTTCGGGCAAATCATAGGCAGCGAACTGGCTGGTAGTGGGGGAATCGACTTTTACATGGAGTGGGGAACGCGGGGGATACTGAAAGCCGGGGGAGACCGTGAAAACAATCAATAATATTGAGATGGAACGATCGCGGCGCGGTGAGCCGATAATGAGAGGCCTGAGAGCCACGCCCCACGCCACGGGCCGCCACCAGAGGTCGCCCCGACGTCCGTTCACCAGCCGCCCTAATTACAGGCAGAGCCGCCCCTGTCCTACCCTTCAAGAAAATGATCAGGAAAACAGTTTTCGAAACGATTTTAGATAATTATATCAAAATAGCTTTATAAATCAAAAAAATTTAATAGTAAATACAACGTACATAAATTTGAAATTATTTCGAGGATGGTGGGAAGATATTTTTTTATCATTTGTAATTTGCATTTATCCGCGAAATTTGAACGTGCAAAAAGCGATAAGCAATAACTCACGGAAGATGTTCTTCACAAAAGGGCCGCCGCTTAAAAGTGGCGGGGGGAAGAAGCCCCATCGAGTCGGATAGAATTTAATTTACGCGTTTCAATCTGTACGCGGTGTTGGTTGGGCGTGGCGAAGGGAGCCGCTCTGTAATTTCAGACAATCCTTGTCTTCTTGACGATGGCTTGATGATATAATGAAGCCGACGTATTTTCTCACACCTCAGGTAGGCCTCCGGCCAGATCCGGACGAGCCTCATCGCTCGTCATACAAAATTTCCCTCATCCCAACTCCTTCATTAGATCATTAAGCGCAAAATCCCTTTTAACTCGAAACTGTTTATTAACTCTTAAGAGACAAAAACTGGTCTAAAAACTTTAAAGGTTAGAAATAAACAAAAACACATAGTTAAGCAAATTAATTAAAAAATAAAGTATTTTAAGTATCTTTAGGAGATAATTGAATATTGCAAAACTTAATTTATTGATATTTATCCTTAAACATTTGAAGCAAAAGATCAAAACCCAACCCAACCACAACAACAACAGATGCTCGAAAGACTGCGAAGGAATCGGCTACTGCTACCGTACGGTTTTATTGGTCATAAACGACGCGGCAATAACTCGAAAGGTAATTACTTGGAGAGATCGAGTGAGCCGGGAAATGAGTGGACGTTAGTGGGGGTTAAAAAAACTTGTAAAAATAAATAAAAAGAAATATACCTATCAAAGTCGGTCAACCTCGACGAATCACGAAAACCCTTAGCGAAAGGATTCGAATCTATCTTCAACTTGGTTATCAGCTGATTCTGGTAGGCCGTTACGGCTGTGAAGACGGTCTCGGGAAAGATGAACGTCCTGTATTGTTCTTGTTCCAAGTCAGTTATTGGACCGGAATGTTCTCGCCATTTTACGATGTGTATTCGAGGTTGATATCGATGCATAGAGTTTAACACAATCTGGAAAGAAAAATTAGTTTAATACTTTGCAATTTTTTCTTTTTTTATTGAATACCAAGTTTGTTCGTTACAAGGTGTCACATTTATGCATTAATTAGTTCATTTTACTTATTGCTACCTGCATAAAATACGACGTTATGAAGCAATAATTAATATCACTTTGAGTTCTTCTTCCGGGAAGACATCTGCTTTTAACTTTTAACTGTTACTTACTAACTAGAACGAAAACGAACGTTTTATGTTTAAGTCAAATTGTTGATTAAAAATGTTTGGAATTTGGAACATCATGTATATAACAATTAGAATTAACACTCTGTTTGTTATAATAAACAGTTTTGGTGTGAACATACGAATACATATTGAAGTCGATTACTGAAAGTTCGTGAGAGTATTTCTTGCGATCGAAGGGCGTCGTGACGCCGGTTCGCGATCACGGTAGGCGCGCCTGCGTTCGCTTGTTCGTCGGTAAAGCGGGGCTCCCCCGCAGTTCGCCCGTTGCCTGGCAACCTGCCCGTAACTCCAAGTGGCGTTAATGATTGGCGGTACCGCGACTTACAATGGCTGCCACGTCGGCACGCGATAAACACGACGCCCGCGACGAGAGGGGGCGCCAACGACGCCCGCGACCGCCTTCGATCCAAAACACTAAATCCATTTTATCAATTCCTTCAGATCGTCTTAGAATCACACCGTTCTTTCAAATTTGACATTTATCCAATGTGATACGTCAAGATTGATGATTCTAATTGCAGTTTTATTTGAATATATGTAATTGATTGTAATATAATCGTGTTGTGAGATGATGGTGGTTTTAAGGAGAGACGGGGGAAAGAGGGTTGTAAAAAGGGCCGGTGGTGTGCACGGTGCGCATTTAAAACATTCCCGAGTCGATCACGTCAGCGGTGAATGGGGCCCCCGACGGGCCGGGCCTGTGTATAAACGCTCATATTTCAATCTCCGTGAAATGGATTTTAAACGAGTCCCTTGTTAGGCCGTAGGTGAGAAATTCGTTGTCGCGCGGTCGCCCGCCGCGCAGCGCCGTCTGATTAAGCGCTGTTTCTTCGATGGCCTGCTCGACCCCCCGACTCAACCCGGACACACACTTCCATAATCGTAACTCCACAATTTTAAAGAGACATCTCTTTGGTTTCATTCAATATCACCAAATACAGGGTGTATCAGGTATGAGTTGAAAAAATTTGTGGGGTTAGGTCCCCTTTTTGTGAATAAAAAATTCTTATAACACAATGTCCTATTCTTTGTCCTTCTTAAGATATGATACGTTAAGGGTTCACAAGTTTGAGTACTACTGGTTAATGAATTATACTAAGCAGGCTTTGCTTATGTATTGCTTTAATTTGACACATAAAAGTCATTTTTGAGACATTTTTTTAGAGGTTCTTTACTTTATACGAATAAATTTATCACTTCTGTTTTATCACTTTTTAATGTGAAAATTTACAAAAATTGAGGTTTTAATAAATAAACTTGTTTTAATTAAAAACAACAAAATTACAAACCTACACAAATAACAAATTACAAATTTTGTTCAAAATGTGCCCCTTCACTTTCTATACATGGAAATTATTCATATTTTGCCTTACACTTTCAAAGACATTTTCAATTCGTAAACGTAAATTCGCAAGATCTTCAATTTCATCGCTGTACACTAGAGATTTTACGTAGCCCCAGAAGAAAAAGTTCATCATATTTAAATCTGGGCTTCGCGCGGGCCAATTTATAGGACCCTGACTCCCTCCAACGACCGGACATTGTCAAATTTAACCAATTACGCACATTTCTACTAAAATGTGGCGGGGCGTCATCATGCATAAAGATGAAATTACTTCTGTATTATCTGGTATAATATCTTGTAGGTGTTGTAAATATGCATCTCCATTTAAATGGTTTGCTACAAAATACAGACCCAACAAAACGTCACCAATAATAGCTGCCCAAACATATACAGAAATCTAATGTTGAAACCGCCGTTGTTGTATAGAATGTGGATTTTCATAACTGCAGATATGATTATTGTGGTGATCCTTGGCGACTGAAACACTCCTCATCCGTCCACATAATTTTATTAATGAGTTGATTATCGACGATATTTTGATCAGTTAACCATTCACAAAACTCAACTCTTGGAGGATAATCTGCCGGAGGATAATCTAACTCTTGAACTTTTGTAAGATGGAATGGATACAACAAATTATGATGTAAAATTCTCCAAACAGACATATGGGATGTATTTAAGATTTTGCTGATTTTCCAGGTACTCACAGAAGGATTGTTTTCAATACGTTCCAAAATTTCATCTTCATGAGTGATATCTTTTTGAGGACCGCGATCTTCCATTTTGGGTTGTAACTGACCAGTTTCTCGAAGTCTTTGAACTACATTAATAAACGTTTGTACATTTGGCAACCGGCGGTTATGAAATTGCACAGAATATTGTAGTCTTGCAGCATTAGCGCTGAAATCGCATTGACCATACAGCAGGACCATATCAGTGTATTCATTGTTGGTATACAACATTATTAAGAGATAAAATGTTATTATGTGTCAAATTAAAACAATACATAAGCAAAGCTTGCTTAGTATAATTCGTTAACCAGTAGTACTCAAACTTGTGAACCCTTAATTTTATCGTATCATATCTTAAGAAGGGCATTCTCATGGGACATTGTATTATAAGAATTTTTTATTCAGAAAGAGGAGACCTATAACCCCTCAATTTTTTTCTACTCATACCTGATACACCCTGTATATTGTATACAACAGTAAAATCTCGATATAACGAACATCGGATATAACGAACAAAAAATTTTTATGTCATACTATTAATATTATCTGATACATCAGCATATTTAAACTTAAATGTTAACACTCAAAGATAGAATCCAACTCGGGTTATTCCCAACTTGCTCTATTCCATGTTCATAGATAAACTCGAGGTATTCCCCGAGCTGTGTATACGATGTATAAATCAAGGACGGTAGTAGTTTTAATTGAAAATCAGCGCAAGATTGTTATACATCGGTTGTCTTTCAACTGATAATCTTCATGAATTTGTTTTTCTTCGTTAGTTTGAGGGTGTGTCAAATGTCTGAAATATAGCCAATAACTTCGCCATTTGTAGTTTTAAAGAAAAATAAAATATTTCAAATAAAAATTCTTTATTAATTGTGGCGCATTTTTTGGCNGTCTTTCAACTGATAATCTTCATGAATTTGTTTTTCTTCGTTAGTTTGAGGGTGTGTCAAATGTCTGAAATATAGCCAATAACTTCGCCATTTGTAGTTTTAAAGAAAAATAAAATATTTCAAATAAAAATTCTTTATTAATTGTGGCGCATTTTTTGGCTATGTTGCTATGCTGCTTGTTTACATTGTTCTTTGTTTCGTTGCTATGGCAACCAACATTATTATTTTAAATGGGATGCATATGTTTTTTTGCACATTTTAATAGCGATGAATATATCAAATCATATGGTTGCATAAGAAAAAAATCGAGAAAAAATGCGTTCTTGAAAATATTAAATCACCAAATTACAATCAAAGCGGGCGTCGAAATAACGCCGGTGCAGCTTTAAATGTCAAAAAATTGACAATTTAAACAAATATAGCACAATTAAGCGAACGACAAAGAATCCAAATATTAATAATGTATGGGTAACACACTCAACGTAGTAACAACAAACAAATTTTACGCAACAAAGTAAATTGAAGATAGAATTTACATATGTTCGCGCCTGAAAGTATACACCCTGCTTGTTGCATCTAAAAGTAAATTAATAAGTTATTATAATAGTTTACTGTGAAGGGTCTTTCAGATTTCACTTCAATGAGCTCCCGTTTATGTTTGTATTCGTTGACGTCGATTTCCTGAAGATGACTGTCATACAGTCGAAACCGGTAGAAATCTAATTTTTATACAATAAATATCATCGTTTAAGTGCAATTTTTAGTTTCTTTAATTCACACGATGATAAGGAAAATACACAACTCCAATTGTTCTTTAAAACCACAAATGGCGAAGTTATTGGCTATATTCCAGACATTTGACTCACCCTGTATATTTTTATTCTTCTGTCTTCTTCGATGTGGCTCAGGCATTCGATAAAGTTTGGTATGAGGAACTCAAATACAAACCGAATAAAGTCTTGCCCAAACAGTATTAACAACTGCTAGACTCGTAAATATCAGAACGAACCTTTAGAATAAAGCAAAAAGATGCTTATTCAGATTTAAAAGAAATTAATGCAGGCACGCCTCAAACACTAAATTAGAAAACGATATTATTGCTACTTTTGCTGATGACACGACCATCCTGGCCATAGACAATAATCATGAAGAAGCAGCAAATAGACTACAGACATTAATTAATAAAATAAATGACTGGACAAAAAATGAAGAATTTCCTTAAATAAGAATAAATGGGTACATGTTAATTTTACAAACAAAAGGGAGCAATATGTACCAATCAGAGTAGATGATGAACAGATACCATATACGAACACAGCAAAATATCTGAGATNATTAATAAAATAAATGACTGGACAAAAAATGAAGAATTTCCTTAAATAAGAATAAATGGGTACATGTTAATTTTACAAACAAAAGGGAGCAATATGTACCAATCAGAGCAGATGATGAACAGATACCATATACGAACACAGCAAAATATCTGAGATCAACCTAAGATGCAAAATTTCGCTGGCAGGCTTATATCAAAAAGAAACGGTAAGAGCTCAGAAACAGATAGAAGAAAATGAACTGGATGTTGGGGAAGAAATCCATTCTGTCAACATAATATATAATAAATTGCTTATATACAGAGTGAGTTATTAGTATCCCGGCGGACGATAGTTGCTAAACCGTTTGAGAAAGAGAAAAATGTTTGACTCACCACTTTCTATAACGTAAAATTATTTTCACTTATACAGGAAACTAAAATTTAGTTACTTTTGATGTTTTTCAAATGGCTTTTTCTTCAGT